TCTCTCAGACAGAATAGTGGATAGGGTTCAGGAAGGAATGGCAAAGATGACCAAAAGCATGAAAAGGCTTCAAAACACAGGAGAACCGAGAGACAGGAAATTTAGCCTGAAAAACAGATAATTTAGAGGAATATAGCAGTGGTCTACAAAATTACGCATAACATTGGAAGAGTGGGTGGGACCTGACTATTCATGGTTTCTGCTAGTATCAGAACTTTTGGACATGAAATACAGTCAGTAAGATATTATTTCAGAGAGTGCATAAGATGATGGATCTTCATGGAGTAGGTGAGAGACACATGGAACTCCCTGTCAGAGGATATGGGATAGGTTAGGAGGTTTACATGGGGTCTAGGCAAGCACTTTAAAGAGAAGTCAAGGCATTTCCTTATAGACAAACCACCTTAGGCTCTTAGAAGATACTGATCTAATACTATCTCTACTGAGGTAGAAACAATTGGAGGCTGGGAAAGTGGCAGCGGAAGGGTCTTACCCTATGCCAATACTTCTGTAGGTGTCTGCATGTGAAGCAAGATATTAAGGTAGGGAGGCCAAGTTAAAGTTACTACTTTCTGTTGTTTCTAAACTCTTCTTTACTGTTGGACTTTTTAAGTGTTACAGAATGAACTCTACTGTCATGACAAAAATAGTCAAGTATAGTAAGAACCTCTGAGAAAAAAAAAAAAGATTCTTGATTAAGACATTGGTTTTGAACTCCAGCAGTCTAGCTAATCTCCAGCTCTTCCAGGGAGTTGATGTATAACCTAAGAAGGCTTTCTAACTAACTCAGTATGGAGCATTGAGACTGCCTGAACTTTGGTGTTGTGTCCACTTCTCTTCATGGGCAGTCTGGGGAACCCAAGCCTGGCAGTGTAGCTAATAGGCAATCTGGGTCACTCACTGCTGTCTTGTCAAGTTAGACACATAAAATGCAGTGTAAATATCTTCTTTAGCATTTCTCTTCCCTGTTTTGAAACAAAGCAGGGGATGTCTTGTCCTTCCCATCATGCATGTATTAACCTTTTAAGGTTCCTTGGACAAGAGCTGCAATTTACCCTGTTTCTGCATTGGCTGATGTGTAGGTGTACACACCTAAATCATGCAAGATGTGTAATTATAGTGTAAATGAGGGAGGTCTAGTTAGAAATAAAACTGTCCAAGCTAATTTTGACATAGTAGGTAGGACATTTTGAAGATATAAGAAAGCACCTAGAGTTCCAGTAGGGTAAGGATGTGCTGATGCCAGAATCTGGGAGGGAGGATGATTTCCAGCTGGTAAGCACAGGGCTGGGCAAAGTGAAGGAGCAGCCTACTTTTTAGGAAGCAAATGCAGGTTAGGAGGCAAAGCAGGATGTACAGAGAGACTTTCTTGAAAGAAATGAGAACTACTCTGCACGTACAGAGTGACTGGAAGGTTCACTGCTAACCTGTTTAATGATTAGTTGATTTCTGTATTTTTATTCCTCTGCTTCAATAAACTAAAAACTTTCAGAAGAAGATGTTGAACTGAAGGATGGTCACTGTTTATTCACGTAGCTTATAAAATTAAGAGAACAGTTGCCATTCTGTACAAGCTTCTCTATTTCCCTTAAATAAATAGTAAGGATTTTTTATATGATTTTCAATTTTCTAGGGTTTACTAGCTTTTATTTATTTTTTTTAGTAGCTCTTTCAATAACGAGTTCTAATGAGTCTTTCCAATGACTGATTTGAAGTGAAGGGGATGGTGGTGAAAAAAAACCAAAACAAACAAACAACAGAATAATTAATCTCTATGAGGCTTAATGGACTGAGAATCATAGAGGTTCAAGCTGGCCTAAAAGCCTGTCTCTTTGTATCAGCAAAATATATGTTTCAGGGGAATTCCAAGGCTTGTGATGTAACCATTTTGAAACCTTTAGCTCATCAACACGAGCTTATCTTTTTTTTCCTTTCCTCCGCTTTTAACATTATGAGGATATTTGTAGTGCTGACTCTTCAAGAGGAGAGGAGTGACACTTCCTGAACTTCAGAAACTTGGGCCATTAATAAGTTTTATGCCATCTTGTTGCTCATCATAGTTTTATAGCCCTTAACTGGCAAAGACTACATTCTAAATGCCTTTTCTATTTACATAGCACTGAGGAGCTACTTATGACAGCATTTCCAAATTTAGAGAGCTTGAAAACAAGTCAGATTAGTGGATCTCAAATCCTTTTAAATGCTTCTGACAGTTTTAAGAAAGTTGACTTTGCTTTTAATTTAAATTATTTCAATGTGCTAAGGAGCTATTCATGATATGGAAGATACTCCAGACCACTCTGCATTTTGCATAAAATTAGGAAGAATTTTTTAATTTGAAATTACAGGGCTTGTAAGTAATTAAGTAGTGAAAAGTGGAACTGATATATGTGTCGGTGAATGCAGAAGTGCTACAGATAATTACAGGCTTCTGGACCACAGTGTTCTGATTCTTACTTTTGTAATAACACCAAAAGTACCTGTGTTCTGTCAGTATCTGCCAAAACTCTCTTTACCTCCCTCATCACCTTGCTGGATAGTCCTTAAAGACATAATGTTATTTGCACTAGTGTGACTTTTGTACTGAGCACATGTATGTGTAATAGGAGAATATCATAGACCTGAAGGGTGAAGCATGTAAATAATGGCTCTATGGGACAAATTCAAACTAAAGGTTTCTGTTCAGTATGCCAATTCTCTCAACAGGAATTACAGGACATGAAGGCTACATGGAGGCTGGAGGAAGTTTTAGGATGCATTTGAGATGAGGTGGAATGCTACCATATAGCCTAAGTGTTGCTGTGGAAAAATGAGTAAAGTCATATGGTGAAAAGAAAATACATCTGCCTGGGAAATTTGCCACAGCATGGGGGGAAAAAAAAAAAGGCTGACTTTAACTAAAACAAGATCCAGTAGGGGAGATGTTTGGGCCAATTTCAGATGCCATAACTTGGCTACTTTCACTCCAGTGCTGGCCAGCTCTGTCACATTACTATTCAAAATATTTTCAAGATTGTGGCTTGTTGAACTGAGTCCTGGAGTGCAGCCGGGTGGCCTGGAGCAGTGGGAAAGGGCAGCAGCACAAGAAAAGCAGTCATGGAGTAGGAGACAGAGGTGGAATATGTCTCTCTGCCTGGGTGCCATCCATCTCAGACAGAACATTGCAGCGGGCATATCTGCGCCCTCACCAAGATGTGTTTTCTATCTCCCAGAGAGTCACAGGCCCTCTGCAAGGTCTGCCAGACCAGCCTCTCTCACTCACATGTACTGTGGTGCTGTGCAGTACTGAACTGAAGAAGAGCATGTCTCTCCACACTTTGCACTGCTGCTGCATCTGGCTGTAGGCCCTAAAAAATAAATAAATCAGACCACCCCAAAGAAAAACCCTTAATCATGAAGACTTGCACCATGTTCTGGACGTCAAAACCCTCAAGTCATGCAAGGAAGTGCTATCATTCATTTTTTTGCCCTTGGAAACTTCCTCTCATTCCTCCACCAGGCACATACAAAGGCTGTTTTTCATAGGAAGCCTTTTTTATAAAGGGTTCCTAGAAATGCACCAGTAGCTTGCATTGTGTTGGGAGGTGGGGATAGAAGTTACTGTGCTTGCTCTGAGACATACACAACTGGATTATTCTGTACCACTGAAAGCTTCCTGAAGCCTTTCAGTTTTTGTCCAGTGGCTTTTGAAGACAATTTATTTGAATTTTTGAAGTGGCTTTTTCTGAGATGGTGTTTGAAACTGACCCCTTAACAAAAGTTTCGTATTCTGAATTTTTTGTGCTTTCTTCAAATTGTTATAACTTTATGAAGTATGGGGGTGGGATTATTATTTTTTCCATTTTAGGGTCTGTGTAACAGAATTGTATCTAAATTAATGGAGTTTAGGTATGATGACGTAACAGTACACAAAACTGAATATTAAGAAAGCCATGATATACTAACCTGAAAGAAGTAAGGAAGCTGCTATGGTTCCTTTCTGGAGCTGAGTTTCAGATTTCTTCTCCACTGATGTTCTGTCCCTTGATTTCCTTACCTGTAAACCCAGCCTTAGAGAATATTTTGAGATACATAGGGATATAAGGTTCAGTTATCAGAATGAAAAACTCACATGGAAGAGATAGCTAGTTCAGAGAAACCCATAGTACAGCTACTATGCAGAACATAGCCTAAAAACTGTGGTTTAGCAAACGAAGGATAAAACCAGTAGTTGAAGACTTAAAGCCACAGTTACAAGGTAGTGCAAGAAGAGCAGAAGTTGAGAAGGTGGAAAAGGCATCACCAATGAACTTAGAAATTAATACTAGTAGAGGCTCCTGCAGATCCCGCTTACATATTTTGTCTAACTATTTCTAGAGAATGACTCTGAGAAAGGCAGTTACACAAACCACAACCACTCCTTCACTTGGTGGTCAGTGAAGCTTACCTACTACAGATGATCCTGTAATGTGTTTTTTTAAATATATAGTAGTGAACAAAAAACAATCCAGTCTTCCACCCATATTTGAAAATACAAGACACCGAGGGACTTGTACGGCAATTTAATTTTGATTAATTCATTAATCTATGTTTCTTTAGACTACTCTTATCCTTGAGTGACTGGTGAATTATTAATTGCTCCACCTTTCTCTTTAGACTAAGTTCTTCAAGACAGGATTTGTTTATGGTGGTCTGTGTGTACAGAAGACCTGTATGCAGACCTCAGAAACCTGTAAGCGCTACTAGCATTCAAGATTGGATAAAAAAAATGACATTTTAAAATGTTTTTAAAACTGTTTATAGGAAACTGATTTCTAGTCCTAGAAGCAGTTTTGTGTGAATATATAGCTTTTATTCCCTATACACTTAGCTTTGTTCTCTGGTAAATATTGCTAGAGAAGAGATTTCACTGGTATCGCTGCTTGCTTACTTGTGGCCTGAACTTATAATGCAGAGTCACAGTCTGGGTTTTGTTTTTGTTTTTTGTTTTTCTTTTCTTCTTTTTTTCTTTGTCCTGACAGAAAGATTTCGGGACTTACTGCTTCTACATTCAAATCAAGATACAGAGATTCTGCCCATCTTTCAGCAGAGGCGCTATCCCAAGTAAGTAAGATTGTCTTCTTGGGAGAAATAAAATCTTTATTTGCAGCAAGGGAGGCTAAAACATTTATAGCACTGTACATGCTCTTGGTGTGAAGTCCAAAGGCAGAACTGTCAGGGAGCCACACTTGTGCTGATCTGTGCAGGCCTTCAGCAGTGTCAGGGAGAAGCAGATGTGCTTTGCAAGCGTGCCCAGCTGCCAGCGGGGAGGTGGTGGTGCTCCGCAGATTTAATGTTGCCTGGATCAGCTTTGTTTCACTTGACACACTGTGTTGACAGAGGCAGATATTTTGTCAGGCTAATCCTCGTTCCTGTGGGATTCCAACATTTTGGAGACAAATTCCCCTGGATTTTAACAGGCTCGTCTCTGGAAACCTGGAAGCTTTAGAAAACATGGGTGTTTTTTGTTCGTTTGTTTGTTTGTTTTTTTCCCTTCATAGGGTTGTATGTACAGGCAAACCAAAAGAGTGTTGTTGGGTGCTTAGGAGGTCTTGCATGTACTGAGCACATCCTGGACAAAACCTCTTCTTCATCCGAGTGACATACCCAAATGAAACAATAAATGCTCCTTGTTATTATATTGATTAAAAGAAACAGTCACTTTCAGCTAAATCTTGACAAGAGGCAGTGAATGGGAGAGGAGAAGAAAAAATAGTCCTCACGTTAACCATGACCAGGGTGAGCAATGAAAGAAGGTTAGTGCGGGAAAGACAGAGGGAGGAAACGGAAGAAAGAATGTCTGGAGCCAATCCAGCAGTGATGATGGATATAAGCAAAGTTATGTATTGTAGATATTACTGTTAGCAGGTTCCTGAAATACATAAGAAGGCAGTGGAGCTAAGTGTTAAATATGGGTCTTAAAATCTGATAATATATATTTTTTTAAATAACAGGCAACAAATAGAGGGGCTGAGTGCTGAAAACTATTCACCTCCTCACTGTGAATACTTGAAAATAGAAGCACTCAGGGTTGAAATCCTGATCCTGAAAATGGTTAAATTTTGCTTTGACTTCAAGAGAGACAGGATTTTATCACCCTGAATTTATTATTTGCATTTTCCGTTGTCACTGTTTTACTGGAATACTGTGGAGGTGCAATATATGAAATTGTGGTGGGCATCTTATGTGGATGGACAGGTCTACTTGTTTCACTAAGACTTTAACAAATTATTGCTTTTCTCCTCACTCTCTGGAGCACTGGAACAGTTATTTTTCCATGGAAGTAAAATGCTTTGCTTGGCTTAGATTTTTTCACTTATGATATGGACACTGAGAAACTAGTTTGTTGTCCTTCATCAAAGAACAGACTTATTTCTATATAAATCATTCCCGAGGTATCTGACTTGCCTTTTCCTTACATTCACTTTATTGCTAGCATTCTTGGCAAGTACAATCTACTAGCAATATTACACATTGTCAGCTTTACAGGTGAATGAGTGCCTGTTGTCTTATGTTCAATGGATGCTTCAGCTCTTTGAAGACCACACAACAAATAACTTATAATGTGGAGTTCTGTTGAAGTTACAGTGGCTTTGCCTCACAAAATGATACATATTTTCAGCTGCATTACTTGGCAAGATTGACTGATTCCTCTACATACAAAACCTGCCAAACTTTGACACCTAACTGAAACAGAAGTTTGCTTATGTTCTTAAAAACAATAATTTTCTGTTCATAGCATCCTTAATTTGTGCAAATTTGCTTACTCGTTACAGAAATGTATCATTTATTATAGTTCATTTAGAAACTGCTTGAAGACTATTGACAGGTCCTAATTTCCCTAAGAACTGTCTTTCAAGTGAAATACTGATGTTCAGCAAGGTAGGAAAGCTCTTTGTCTTCATAATATACTTTGTCTTATTCTTATGTCATTTTTTTTCCCTTCTCTATGCTCATTTTCATTGAAAGGTTGATTAACAGAAATGAAGGTAATGAACAGACAGATCCATAAATCAGTGGCCCTTCGCTGACTTCACCTGAGCAATGGCTGGTTGTACCACATAAAGTGCTCAGCAGTAAGGTCATTTTAATGAGATGTCATGGGACATAAGCTGGAGCTTGTAATGCTTAAGGAAATCCTAAGAATATGGAAGGTTACAAATAGAAGAGAGATTTTAATAATACCTTAGCTGAATAGTTTGATGAAGCAGGGCTGTGGAGGTAGAAAGGACAAAAGTCTGTACATATTTTAGAGACATATGTCCAAAGGGAGGAGACTGGGTAGGAAGATGCTCAGCATCTGTCAGGATATTCCAAGTCATAGTAATAAATATTAAAAGTTAAATGACCAAACTATAATCAATCAATTTTTGAAAGAAATAGAAACCTTGGTTTTCTGGCCTGAATTAAGTTCTTGTACGTTTATCATATTAAGACCTGAACTCTTTCCCAGGAAGGGACAGCATAATTTTGGGCACATATTTGTTCTCAGAGAAGATGTCTGTGCACTGGAATGGCTGAAAGAAGTTTTATAGAATATACATACTCATTGTTTTGGATTTGCTGGGGTAAATGTGTCAAAGAAACATGCTTTCCACCCCTGTTATTGAACTAGCAAGACTATAATTGAGGCCAATACCTCAAGGGACTATCAGATGTCACTAAGAGCTCCCTCATCCACCTTGTCAGGAAACCCACCCATCCACAGAAAGAAATGTTTTGATGAGAAAATCTGTCTCCTAGCTGACATGAAGCCATCACCATGTCTGTGAAGATTCATGTTCTTGAAACAGAATAAAAGTGCAGCTGTAGGCACCTAAATGGGTTGAGATGCTTATCTGTCGCTGAATGTACCTGCCTGAGAAAAACCTCTGCACATGAACCAAATCACAGACATACTTGCAGATTATTCCTTCTCTCCCTCGCTCCATGAATGTGCTGAAGTCACCAAGGTGAGTTATGCCAACACAATCAGAGCTGGCAGCAAACTAAACTTGTTAGAGTGAGCCCCACACATTACTTTGACAATGAGTATTAGAGTTCCTATATCTCATAGAAAACTTTACAGAGTTTCACTCTTAGCACATTTCAGGAGGAGCTTTTTTCATGTTGTTATCAAGCTCTTGCTTTCCTTCGTTATCTACTTCACTGATGACATTCCTACTGTTTTTTCACATGGATTCACTCATAAAATCCAAGAACTGCTGAAGTGCTGAGACAGGCTACAGAGGGTTGCTCCAGATATCACTCCTGTGCTCATTAATTGAGCTGTAGGGTCCAGCACTTGATCTGGGTGTTTGGAGCTAGCAGCAGAGGCCTGGTTTGCTCTGTCCCACCAGAGTCTTTTGGTCTTTTCCTGCTTTTTTTTTTTTGTCTTGTCCTGCTGACTCTGCTCCTCACTGTCTGTGCTGTGTTCACAAGGGGAGGATATGCAATTGCCTTGCAACACCAGAGAAAGGTGTCTTTTGTAGCTGAGCCTGATAATGTCAAAAATAAAAAAAAAAATTAAAAAAAATAGAAGAACGGAACGATAAGGGAAGTGATAAAAGATGTGCAAGAGTGAGAAATGAGGTTGGTGGGTGAAAAAGACAGGAGAGGGGCTGACACTGCACAAAACACTTAAGAAGGATGCACCAGAATGCTGCTGGCGCTACAGCTTTTTAGCAAATTTCTCTGTACACAAGTGACTTGACAGTTCAGGTGTATTTTGTATCTTCAAGATACTGCTGAAATCCTCAAATACGCATGTGGATTTTATAGAGGGATTATTTACTTCTTTTACTTTCCTTCAGAAATATTTGCAGTCTGCATTCTTATCTTCTGTGGGTTTGGTGGAAAAGTTCTTGGATGATTCACAGATTTTAAAAGCAGAAGGAGCTGTTATGTTCCAGCTAATTTGAGTCCCTTCTTAACATAAGCCATAAAGCATTACCCGATAATCCCTGCAGCAAGCTTCTGGTTCAGATGGAGCATGAATTTAGAAAAACATCCAGTCTTTAAATTGAGATGTTAAAAACTGGAAAAATCACAAGCCTTTAGATCAACTTGTTTCAATTCTCAGTTACTTCATATGCATGTAACATTAATTTATTTAACTTCACTTTCCCGTCTCTGCAATCTCACTCTACAATTTTCTGCTAAGCAAGGAAGTCCTGTACCATCTGAAATGACATGTCCGTACAAGAGGTTGGAGGGTGTTTAAAAATGTACTCTTCTCTTGAACAAACAAATAGAAGTTTATTTTAGGGTAAGGCTTACTTAAAAGGTCTTTAATAATTTTTTTTTTTCTTTCAAAAACTTTTCCAGAGTCTTGTTTTTTCTTTTTTTTTTCTTTTTTTTTCTTTTTTTTTCTTTTTTTTTCTTTTATTTTTTTTTTTCTTTTTTTTTTTTTCTTTGTTTTTTTCTTTGTTTTTTTCTTTTTTTTAAATGTGGGCAGGAATTAAGAAAGTATTTTGGTAACTATTTCCATAATGTCCACATGGAGAAATAACAGCACTTCTTTGGAGTCGAATAGGGAGATAACATAAATTTAGCACTATCTTATTGTTTAAGTGGAGTGACAATGTGTTGAACTTCAGAATAAAAAACAAGGACTTAGAATCTAGCAGGTGTAATGAAATAACAGAGTATCCCAAATACATTTACTTACCATGAAGCATAAACTTACCAACCTTTCTTTGATTTATATTCTGAGTAAATTAAGGTAGAATTCTTACATATGCACAAAAATACTGGTCATTTTCATGTCACAAAAACCCTAGAAAATACAGGATCTTGATTTACATACTTTGATAGATAGATACATCTGTCTTCAAATACATACTTTTGAAGGTCATCTTTGAAAAGCTGCTGAAAATTTCAGCTCAAACAAAGCCAAATGGTGTTATTCAATTCTCATCATGGAGTAGTCTAGACAAATAGATGGCAGAAAGTTAGTGCCCTAAACTATTGTGCCATCTGGTTCCCAATTGCTACTCATTTTAATGATAATGGATCTATAATGGATCTGCGCCAATTTACTAGTTTGAGATCTGAGCCGAGACACTGGCAATATTTCGTAAATA